TTGGTTGTGGGATCATGAGAGAAATGGGAGTGTTCCATGCAAGTAATGCGAATTACAACATTTTACGCATATCTGGCAAATTTTGCTGTCGCTGCGAAACTGTTTGCAACGTCTTTTCGCTAGACACCCAAAGCTATCCGTTCAATCATGGATGATTTCATGCAATTTCATTCTCTGAACTTGTTCACCGCATTTTAAGTCAAGTAACTCTCATGGCATTGCTGCATGGAAATTAGATTTTCAAATCCTACCTAAATTACATGATTGAAAAATCAATTTATCGATCGCCTGCTCAAGTCCATTACGCGGTCGTTTGTTATTAAGTAAGTTCTACCGAGTGCCAAAACTGAGAAGGTGACTGTGACAAATAAATTGCATTACCAATGACTCTCCGCCCCCGCTATGAAAGTGAGCAAGCATAGCATCCTTGATCGATATTCACGATCGCACACCGAGACCTCCTTGCATTCGCTTCGGGCACATATACCTGCCTTTGATTCAGACCTTCTATCCTTTTCAAAGGGGAAATTTTAAATTTTTTAAATTTAAAGTTAAGGATATCTAAGGTGACCGTATCACATTCGCGTTTCGGTTAGGCGAGCTTTCTTTGTGGAACATCGCCGCTGAAAGCCAACCGAAATTCATCAAATTGATGTTGATTATTAACTGACTTTTGCTTTAGTTGAGCGTATGCGTACTCTATTGCATTAACTTCGGACCTCAGCAACGAAGTGGTGTCTTATGTATTGCCAAATAAACAAAATTCAATATTTTTACCCGTCGGTAATTGCGCATTCAATGGTGTCTAATTATTTTCATTCAGCAGAACAGACGAAAGCGGCAAACGATGCTTATTTCTAAAACTGGTTTACAACTCATCTGTGCGTTATAACCGTTGTCCTCTACGCCAGGCCCTTTCGTCTGACGTAGTAAGGACGCTGAGAGTGCAAGTTATATAGAGGAGTCAATTTGGTTTGGTTGTTCATTCAGAAAGACAACTGCATTCGAAGAAAGAAGCGGAATATTTCATTAAAGAAGCCACCTCTACAATCAAAAGATTTGCCTACACAATATGACAAGCGTAGATGATCCGTGCATGTGACAGTCTAGCAACATGTGCCCTTCGTTGTCTTATGCTAGAATCATATTCAGCCTAATGGCGCTGAAGTCTACATATGCACTACATGAACTCGTAAAATAAGAACACTTAGACAGCAAGGTGCTTATCATCACTAAAGAAAAAGCACAATCTGCAGATGTTCGTAACGCCACAATTTTCCTCGATGATCCTGGGGCATAAATTTCGAGTATGTCATGATCACATCCAGTTTGGCGTCCCTTACAAATCATGATCACGGGGCCTATTGTAGGCACAACTCCTCCAAAACCAAATTTTACACCACATGGCACCTCCCTGTAACAAGGCTTTCCAAGTTGCCTAAAAATGGGGTAGAGTGAATGGAGTGTATTTCAGCAAGCTCAGGTTCCACATTATTTGATCATCTCCCGTGTTAGAAGGCCTCTGCGCATTTTACGATTTGGAATCATACCCATTTCATCATCATAGACTTACTGCTCAAGTAAACAAAATATTAGATGCGTTCAACTGCATATGCCCAAATATCCAAATTTATTGCCTACCTAAATGTCCCTTTAGAAATCTAAAAACGAGGGAGACATGCAATGCCCGTGAAATTCTGGTTTGATGGAGTTGCGCTTATTTCAGCATGCACAAGCGTACGAACTCACGTAATTATACGTCACGGTCTATAATGTATTTATTCATTTGTATTTATACTGAAGGTACAGTTGCCTATGGTTTATTTGACGCCGCGTCATGTAGTTGGTTTATCGAGATGACGGACCACTGTCTGAAAGTCATTTAAAAACAGCCAATGCAAATGGTTTTTTCTATAGCAACTGCAACTTCTTTTCTAAAATTTTATTTCTCTCATATTTAGTTGACCCCTGTATGACTGATAAGTCCGATTTACTCTCAAAACTATGCGACAACTGATTTTAAAAAATCTAGACCTGGTGGAAAATCGCTGAACTAAAGGTTCACTGTTTAGCGGTAAGGTGCGGGATTGATTTGACAAGATTTGGTTCACAGTTGTGGATTATAATTTTTTAAGCCAGATCATAAATGCAATGTTGGTTAGTCTCAAAAGCACAATAGAAACAAATCGAATTTTTAATTCAAAACGATACATCTGGCATTAACCAACTATGATTAGCATTCTTAGAGCTAGAAATTCATCACTAACGGACCTGATCATTTATGATTATTAGGATCGATGGAGTTGGTTATCAAGAGGATCAATGGGCAGTAAACCATTTTAATGTCCGCTTTTCTGAAAAGCTTGATCAAAACATTGTGAGCTATATCTTGCCCACGTCGCGATATCACGCGATCCAAGCGTTCGGCTTGCAATGCGATCGATCGATCTGCAATTTCACTTTTGCTTACGTTTCAATTGCTTGTTTTTTCAATGGTTTCACTAGTAACTCAGAAAATTTTTGCCTCGGATGCGAGTTCGAAGGCAGCACTTTCAGCCTTTTAGGACTATACGTTTTCAGCAACTCTGTCGTTACTTGCGTGGGATGCTTTGAATACTTTTTAGCGCAACTAATAAACATGTCCAATGCGAATAGCAGTGTCTAGGTGTCAATTTGAAATTCGCGCAATAGCGAGGTATTGTCTTAGGTAGCTGAAAACACAACGAAATTGGTTGCGATCCCAGGTTTGCCTCTCAAAAACTGCGTATTAATATGAAAGACCTATTGCAACTAATCACAGAAGATTTGACTCTTCGGTAATGAAGGAAATTTAGAAACCTACGATGTTTTAGAGCATGACAAGATAGAACTAATCACTGCATTTCCTCTCTAGTATAATTCGTTCAAGTAAACAAGTAATGCCTTGACAAAATAACACTTCCAAAAACATACAAGGTGCCATACAAACATAAAGTGTTGCATTGCAATAAGCGTTGATCGCAGGCGTGGTTAAAGCAGTGCAATTAGCATGAGGAAACAGCTTAATTGTAGACGACTCGAGAAGCAGGATAAAAAGGACAGGAGGTAATAAAAGGCTTCTTACTCGAAAGAGAACGTTAGACCCAAGTATTAGGTCGCGCTGAAGGCACTAAACGCTGGATGAAGCGATTCGAATTAAAACTAAAATTAAAGTAGAATTACTTCACATAAACTTGCAACTCCTCAAAACTGCTTGATTTTATTAACTAATATATTTTTAAGTCTAGTTTTGGTGTTCTTGTGCATAATTCGTCGCTCAGAGGGAGGTGTTCAGGAAATATTTGAGTGATTGATTTGGCACTTTTACCTGCCAAGATTGTTTTCAAATACCGCAAGTTATATAAATAGGTTGTTGAACAATTCATGATTCAGGACACCAAACAAGTTATACTATAAGCTATACTTATTTTCGAAAAAAAATTCATCCAATTTCACAGCCCGTAATTTTTTGAGATTTAGATTTGGGAGGGGCAGCAACATCTGAAGGTGTTTCGAATGTATTGTTCTTCTGCCCATCAAGCAGGCTGCACGACCTAGATTCGAAGGCTCAATAGGACAGCTGTTAAATGCATATGAGCGATTTGGCTGTCGATCTGACCCTAAGCGGCATCCATCTGCCTTTTTAGAAAGGGTCTTTCTTGTGAATCTCTCCTCTGTCATCTTGATCACCTCTCCAATCCATAGCAATTGTGATCACTTCCTCCAACAGAGAAGTGATCGTCAGCATGAACAACATCACGAATGCCTCGTTACAAAGTACAGGGAATTTTTCGAAGAAACTTCATTCCTGTCCAAATGCAACTGCGATCGAAATCTCTTTGTTTGCGATGAACAAGGATCAAACGGAGCAGCCTATACTTGTGGAGAGCGCGTGACGCAGCTGCCGATATTTTGCAGGCGGTTACATCTGTTGAACATCAAAACCCTGCATCCTTCCCATCGTTAAAGAGAAAAGGGACATTATGACGGCATCGTGTTATTCACCGAAATGACGAAACAAACAAGTCTGTGCAGTTGTTCAACAAATCCGATATAAACGGTTAGAACGAACGTGATGCGATCAGTCAGCCTATTTTCAGATGATTGGAGCTTTCCTCGTTCCTTGTTGCCTCCTATAAGAAAGTTGTTCACCTTGTGTGTGGCACTTTCACCAAGTAAGCTTTGTGTGCAAATGGTTTGCACTGGTCTTCCGAAGGTCCTTCAAGAATAACCGCTGCAGAGGAAGTGATCGAAGCCAAGGAGGTGACTGACGCCAACGAAATGACTGAGTGAGACTATCTGGTCAAGTCATGTACATTGGTTTTTCGAGCCGAATAAGGAAACGAGCCAGCGAGCTATGGCAAAGCTTGAAGCGATCAAGAGGAAGATCGGTGGCCTGAAGGCGCGGATCGACAACACCGTAAGAAGCGTTGAAAAGTTTCTATGGGGTTCAGACTGCAGGCCAGAAGTCGAAGAAACTCTTACCCTGATGGGCAGGTGCTTCTTGAAATGCGAAGAGTACCTAGGCCAATGCGAGACCGCTACTGGAATAGGAGAACGAAAAACTAATGATGCATAACAGCAGCATTCGGATAATCCGTTCCAGCGTAGGTAGGTGTCTCCAAAAAGCAGTAAGGGAAAACATAAAACCGATCCTTCGTGACGCATCAACGAGTGTTGGCATAATGGGACAGACAGAGAACATTCGGATCAGTACTTTTGGCGAAGCTTCAAGTCCCCCGATGTGATTGCATAACGTTAAGTTCAAATTTGGGCCAGTTTTATCCAGTGTTGAAGAGAAGCGCGTAGAAGTACTGTGCGTTCCATAAATTTGCAGGCCATTTAGTCCAAATCCGATTCTAAACATGGCTTGAAAACATCTGAAAAATCTTAAACTCGCTGATAAATTTCCGGGTGGATCATCGAAAATCGATTTGTTAATAGGAATCGACAACTATTACGAGTTAAGAGAACTCAGTGAAGGCATGGCGAACCGAAAGCTATTGACGATCGATTTTTTTGGGTGGATTGTCATTGAACGTGCTGCAGGCAATAATGGCGCCTAACCGGGAATATAAACTCGCTTTATAACAATTTTGTTGATCCTGATGACAGTATACTACGTCGGTTCTGGGAGTTGGATGCAATCGGCATCGAGAATCACCAGAATAAAGTACAACACCGTCTGTATTAGCTTGTGGAGAAATTTTAAAACTCTCTTTCTTCCAACTGTGATCGTCATGTTGTATGAATTGCAGGGAAGGAGAGAATCTTGTTGTGAAATAATCGCTGTCAAGT